ACAAGAAGCTCCTGCATTTGATGACGGCCAGTTCCCCCCAACATTAAAATATTAATTTCCTTCTGCATTCCCAAAAAGTATCCAGGGATATTTTCCCCTACTATTCTTTCAGGCTGAGTAAACTCCTTAAGCATCAGGATACCACATGCTGTAATCTCCTGCAGGGAATGTATTTCCATTTAGCCTAGTATAAGGAAATCATCCCCACGTAGCCACTGGGAAGTGCTCATTGCTCCTCAGGGGTGTGGGGCTGGGGGACAGTGCGGGGACAGTGACTCGGGCCACAAGGCTGAGGGCTAAGGTACACATGGTCAAGCACAGGGGCAGTACTGGCAGCCCAGCTGGAAATCAGTTTGGTCCACCAGCCTGGCAAAAGGGATGGCTTTGCAATGCTTTGACTGAAAATGTTTGCTGAAAATTTTCAATCACTGGAAAGTTTTAGTGCAGACAGTTTTTGGAGCTCCTCCCTGGCATCGCCTGGACTTCAAGTTTCCCTTGGCTGCTGCTTTTTTGTTGTTTTCCCTTATTTCCCTCCTTCCTTATTCTACTGAAATAACCAAGGGAAATAACTGGGGGAGAAACAAAATCTGCTTTTGTTAAGAGACAACCCCCACCTGAGCCATGGTCCCTCTGGCTGTCAGCCTATTCCAAGTGAGGTCCCCAGCTTGCTTCCCAGGTGCCCCTTTGCTGCCACTGGAAGAGCATCATCTCGGGGGGTGGAGGGGAGGGGGCCATTGGATGGCAGCAGCCTGCACCCCTTGTGCACACCAGGTCCTGGACACAAGTCTGCCAGGGCTTCTAGGGCTCCTGTTGCAGAGCCCCAGTCCTCATATGGGGCTGGGGCTGCCATCCTGCTAGGTGAGACAGGTCAAGACCACTCAGAGAATGTCCCTGAGTGATGACAGGCTCGCTGTGAGCCTGGCCCAAGAGTGTTTGGATAAGGGGGTTCAGGATCCCTGCCCCAGTGGCACTACAGCCCCCAGCATGCCATGCTGCCAGCAGCCTTGGCGGGAGCACAGTGCAGCATGCTGGGACCCGTAGTCCTCCTCCCTTCCAAAAATGCCATTTTAGACTTTTCTGGGCTGGATGCAGCCCCATTTCCTGCAGCAGCCAGAGCCTCCCCAGCCACGGGCTGGCTGGCTCAGCCCAGGGCATCGCAGCTGTCCGGGGTGCGAGGAGCAGCCAGCACGTCCCCACAGCTCCAGCTGCCCTGGTGAGACCTGCCAGGAGCAGGGCTGGGGACCTGGGGACAGCATCCTGTGGGTGCTGCATCCTGCAGCGCTCCCCGGCAGCCACAGCCCCAGCCCCGTGCCACGCTCCATGCCACAGCCTCGCCCGCCGCCAGCAGGGCTGGCAGCATTGCCCCGACGCCACCCAGGGCTGGCAGCACGAGTGGGCTCCCAGCACCAGCACTGGGGCACGAGGCTCATGAGCACCAGGGCAGTGGCCTTGCGCTCGCTTTGCCAGTGTGACCTGGTGCCTGGCTAGGGGACCCTGGGGACAGCAGCGCCTCCCTGGCTGACCAGCACTGCCACCAGACACATCGGTGGGAGCTGAGGGACACCAGGAAACACTGTCCTGGCACAAGACATGGGGAAAACACCGGCACTGTGGTGTCAGCTGGCGAAAAGGGGTCGATTGTCACCTCCCCGAGTGAGGACAGTGCCCAGCTGCTGCCCCAGACCCTTCCCAGGCAGACCTCCACCCCAGCCCCTCTTCCTGGGCTCAGCTGTGGAGCACACTTGACCCGTATCCCCCCAAAATCCCAAGCCTAGGAGGGTCACACACGTCCCCACGCAGCCCAGAGTGACTCACCGGAGTGGGGCTGCGGCGGAGGGCGGGTGGGCTCCTCGCCCCTCGCCCGGGCCGGGGGAGCCAGGTGAGGAGCGAACTTCCCCGGGCTGATGCAAGATGCCTCTGGGAGCTCGCTCGCATTCTGCGGATTCCTGGGAGCCGGCCAGAAATCCCACAATCCTAGATCTTGCACATTTGGTTTCAATTAGGGAGCGGAGAAGGGGAGCCAGTCAGCGATCAGGGCTGGCGTTTCGGCAGAAGTTATTTTCCTCAGCCCGAGGGAATGTGCGCAGAGCTATAATTTACAGCAAAACCCATTCATAGCACAAGAGAAAAAAATAAAAAAGTCCCTGTGGCCAGCAAGGGAACTTAAAGCAATAGGCAACATTTCATTTTCCAGTGCTTGCCCGGTAGCTGTGTCATGGCACACACGTCCAGGACCCTCCTCCTGCGCTGTGGGGGTGGGTAGGACACCCCCAAAATGTGGGTGATGGAGACACTCCACAAGATCCCAGATCTCGCCCAGAGGGTCCCACATAGGCTACCCCTCTCTGGGCCCCTGGGGGAATGATTTGGCTCTCCTGCATGGGCACACGTGGCCAGGACAGCAGCCAAAGGACCAACCTGGCTCAGGGTACAGGCTCAGCGCTCCAGCTCCCCAAATTGCACGCAGAGCTGGTGGTTTGACATCATTTCCAGGCACTAGCCTGGCACAGCAGCCACTGGCTACGCAACGAGGCAGGGAGAAAATAATAGTAATACTACTAATACTAATAATAATGGGCTCACATTAATTTCGTGCAACATCAAAAACCACAATTAAAGAACTTTTTAAAAAAAAAAATTTAGACTGTTTTGGCTGTGCTGAATTCCATGCTTACATTATGGGAAGGAAATAGCGCCCCTGGCAGCAGGCCACAAACTCCCTAAAAACTTTCCTGTCCAACTAGACACCCTAAATCCCCAGGGCTGTAGCCTTGCTCCTAAACCTCTTTGGCTGCATGAAGTCTCCAGACAAACCAATTGAATCACAGGTAGGGGAAGCCATCCACTGCTCCCAGCAGACACTGGTGAAACCTGTCACTGCCACCAGAGAAGAGCTGCAGCACCAGCTGAGCCAGCACTGTCCAGGACAACAGAGGCAGGGCACAGCTCCCCCTGGGCTGGCAGGGAGCAGGTCTGAGCAGTGCCCCATGTGCTGCACCAGATCAGCTGGCAGGGAGAAGCACAGGCTGCCCTATGTGCATACCGGCACAAACACCAGCCAGCTCTGCTCCGCTCCCCTCCTACTACCTGGAATTGTTGTTCAAATAACCTGGCAGCAGCCAGCACCCTGGTGCTCTGTCCCAGGACCTAATGCAAAGGTGGTGGTCTGCAAAGCCAAAATGCCAAAGGCTTGGCCACGCACAGCCAAGCCAGCAGAAGACACAGCACTAGCCGGGACCCCCCCACACACTGCCCTGGTGGCCCAGGCACAGAACCAAGTGTTTGGCTGAGCCTGGGAGGCCCAACAACCACCTTTGCACCTGGGGGACACGTGGTGACTTCCCCCAGAGTGAGTGGTTTGGGTCCCATTCCCAGGCCCGCAAGGGAAAATCCCTCCTCAGGCAGCCACGGGGCAGTGAGAGGCTGTGACCACATCAGGATCCGGAGAGGAGCTGACCAAACTCTACATCCTTCTTCCCAAACAGGAGTAGAGGCAGCACAGCTTCTCTGCCCCAGGCAATAAGGATGCCACACTCCTTGGTAGTGGGCTCATGCAGGAGCTAAAGAGCCCTCCAGGAAAAGCAGAGGGCATATGGCACTGGTGGAGGGCTCAGTGCCGGGCTGATTTCACCCTGAGCACTCCAACAGTGCAACACACCTGCCTGTTCCTACCTGCTCAAGGCCTGCCACTGCAGAAATTTAAGAGGAGGCTGCAACTCTCTGCTTCCTCCAGGAACACCCCAAATGAACACTACAGGCTAGAGGCCCTGTCTGCAGCCACCCCAGACAGCCACCCTTGCTGCACTGAACAGAGCACTTGGCGTGATGCAGTCGGCTCTCTACTCCATGAGCTTCTTGGCGCAAAGTCATTGTCACTCAACACCACCAGAAGACAAATTCAGAGTTTAATTGGGTGCTTCCAGTGGTGGAATATACAAAGGATGACTGAAAGGGAGGACATGGGCAATGGCAAGGACCCTATTAAAAAAAATAGTCATGTAGATTTAAGAAAAATAAAAATTCTAGATTAAACCCAGCCCCACAGCATAAAAATCCTCTCTCTGCATATACAATGACTATTGCTATACACATGTTTAAAAATAAATGCTCACAGCCTGGAGTGCAAAGGGCAGCACCACAGCTGTGCTTTGTGGCAGGGGAATCTGTAGTGTTTGTTTTTTAAATTAAAATATAAATAGAAGCATACAACATGCCAACAACCGAGTGGGTCAAATCCTCCTCTGCACATGGCTGGAGCAAGCAGGAGCAGTCCCTGCTAGGCCCAGCTATCAACCTTCACGTGCCCCAGTTCCTGGCAGGATGGGCAGCCCTGCCTGGGCACTGTGCTGCCACTACATCCCGTTCTTCACCAGCTCGTGGATCCCATCCTCGTCAATGATCAGAGGTGTGCGAAACTCCCGGTCCTTCACGTACTTCTCCAGACCCTGGGGGAATGGGAAGTGGCTCATTAGGAACACACTGAACATCACCTGCTCTGCTGAGCTGCCCACGGGTACCTCTGCTCCCCTCCTATGCTGGCAACCTGGGGAGCATTGCCCCAAAAAGCTCCCCAGTGCATTATAGTCACTTTTGTGGCTCATCCCTTCACATGTGTGCCCTGCCAGCCCAGTCCATCCGCAAGGCTCCCTGAGCTCTGCAGAACCAGTACTCACTTCTCCTCCGTAGGAGACAAGGGGAGAAATTTCACACTGGATTGGCAGGTCACTTGCGTCCTTCAAGCTGCAGTGAAAAATAAACAGTCAGGAGAGTTAGGTACAGCCCAGGGTGACACAGATAGGGCCCAACATCTGCCGAGGCAGGCGGAGGGTCAGGGGCTGTTTGGGGCCCACACAGACCCCACCAGCGCAGAGCTGCCCTGGGTTAGTTAAGCCTTGCATGCTCTCCACAGAGGTGACAGCTAAAGTTTAGATACCACCAGCAACTGTAAGGGAAAAGAGCTTTAGATGGGGCTTTTATGGTGCCTTTCCATATGTGTAACTACAGCAATGCCTGTGCCCCCAGTCCCGCTATTTTTGATGCTGCATGGAAACGAGTCACCCATTCCTTCTCCTCCTGCATCCCTGGGGTGATGTGAGATGCACTCACAGAGCACCTTCCCATAAAGCAAGAGGTCTTGCATTAAGCCTTCTCTCGCTTAAAGCACAACCTGAAGATACAGGGTAAGCCCTTCTGCTCACTCAGAAACACTCCCTGCAGCACTGTCTGCTCTTTCTGCCTTTGCCTGTTAGATCAACTATCTTGGCTCCTCTCTTCTGCCTGTGAGATGGATCTGGTGAGGAAAATGCCAGATCCACACGAGTGCTGCCTACTGCAGCAGCACTGCTGGGCAGGGGCCTGTGTGGGTGTCCATGACCCTGCTCCTGCTGCCATCAGGATTTGTAAGACACGCTTGGATGATCCCTGGATCCAGCTGTCATGTAAATCTGGGGGTGCAGCTGTGTGGACTGAACAAGCAGACATGCCCAATAGCACCCCACGGTGCCCCTTCCCAGCCACTGGCCACAGCAGCCAAGACGGCATGGCAGGATGCCATCTGTGACAATGCTCCCTTCACCCGGGTTGAAGCTCCTTCTGCTGCCATGCACTCACTCAGTCCCCTCCTGTCACAGGTGTCAGTAAATAAAACTCACCCAGCCCAACCCACACTGGTATTTACCTTGAGTGTTAGATTCAAGACAATAGTTTTGTTTAAAAATTGACATTAACTGGTAATGAAGGGTAAATGTGGGACAAGGTGCAGCCTTTCTTCTGCATGTTAACTAGTGTGATGGCTTAGTCATAAGCCTGAAAACACCTGGAGTCTGGAATTAAAACAGATAAAACAGTGGTATTCCACCAGAAAGTACCGGAAGGTAAAGCTTCTGAAAGAGGGGAAGGGAACAAAATTGCTTACTCTTGTGAGTCATTTACACTCACCAGCTCCAAGTCCCAGCATGACTGTGCTACAGAACATAGCGGAAGAGTTAAAACCTCCCCATGTATTCCCGTAAACTTTCAAGCAGCGAGCCAGGGGCTTTCCCTGGTGTCACGCTCTGAATCTTCCAAACTCAAGAGCTGGAGTCACACAAAGCCCAGCTGGCTGCTGTGCTCAGATTCACACATGCTACATCAAAGCCTGCCTGACATTTGCTTCATGTTTTTAATCCTGTTTCGGTCTGCCTGGACGCCTGGCGGACATCGGGAGATGGCAGCCATCCCCAGCTCTGGGACTGGCCAGGACCAGTCCCTGCTGTGCTGTGACAAACAGGGGAGCGGCATCAAAGGATGTGCCAGGATGTTTGCCAACAGCATCCTACCTGCGGGGTGACCTTTAGGGGCTGCGTGCAGTCAGCACCACCCTGCATCTGTACCAGCAGCACGAGCCCTATCCAGTTATCCCTGCAGAAAGGAGCCCAGTAGGGAGCAGAGCTGCCTGCGCCCGCCACCATGAGAAGCGGCATCCCCTGTCCCCAGGGGTGACATGCCCCAGCACCCACATGCACCCCCAGCCCCGTTAGCCTGGCACACCGCTCTGCCTGCAGCCCGTTAGTCCCTAAGCACAGCGCCGCCACCATGCACCTGGGACATGGATAGTTACTTGTCATTGACATCTGCTGGGCTGGCAGCTGACCTTCCATTTGTGATGCTACATGGGAACAAACAAGGGTTAGCAAGGAGGGGAAACCAAATCTGGATCTAGTGAACCCTAAAGAGGGCAGCGGGATGTCTCGTGGTTGAGGAATGTGTTGATGCAAGCCTGGCTGCTGCATGGATCTGCTGGCATGCTCTGTCTTTAGGGAGCCACCTCCTCCCTGCAGAAGCAACCTTGGCTGTACAATGGAGGCTGGGAGGATTCAGTTCATAGGTACTGAACCGAGAAGGAAAGCTGCTGCTGACTGAGCACCACTCCTGTTGTCACCACACGACTCACACCCAGCTCTGCTCCACAGATCACCCAGGAGAGGGGACCCATAGCTGGCTGCTTCTGTGACACTGTTATCAGTGCTGGGATTGCCTTGCACTAAATATCCAGCCCAAAAAGGAGAAGAAATGGCAGGAGAAGCAACTCACCGAGGGATGGCAGGGATGCGTGTGCCATTTTCATCCACAAAGTGACCCCCTGCATTGAGAACCCAGCAGTGGTGCAGGGACATCAAGGCATGTCGGGCTGTGGTGGGGTTGTCCTTGCCATTCTGGCTGTCTGCGTTCTTCAGGGGGGAGAACTCATCTTCACGCAGCACTTCGTACACCACAAACTTCCTGGGGGAATACAGCATGGGAGGGTCGGGTTTGGAAACTGTGACTGCTTCCCTTGCCAGGGTGGCCCACAGCCCTCCCCCAGCCTACACCCACGGGCTGTGCAGTAGGGAGGGGAGGGCCTGGCCTGTAGGTCAGCAGATGTTTCTCTGGCACAGAAGCAGGACTCAGCCCAGCAAGAGGCATGCAACACCCATGCCTCCAGCTGCCACCCTACCCTGATCCTGGGGCATCACCAGTGGGCACACCCTGGCACAACCCCAGATGCTCTCAGAGCTTGCCCAGGGAGAGCCAGCAGCCAGCCTGGACCCCACAGAGAGCAAAGGACATACTTGGAAAACTGGAAGATGTCGAAGACGAACTTCTCCATCTTAATCCCATTCGGCTTCTCGGGTTGGATTAGCTGCCCTGTAGTGATGTCCACATGTGGGATCTTCTTCTCAGCCACATGGTGCTGCAGTTGTGGTTCATAAGTGCTGCAACGGGCCAAGAAAGAGATGTCACTTGTCCGAGCAAGCCTCATCCCCAGCTCAGACATGACTGCAGCAGCATGGCTGCCCTGCTCCAACCCTGGCTGCCCCAAGGTAAGGGCTACTCATCCCCACAGCAGCCAAGAGAGACAGCCCCACATGCCTGCACTCTGGAAGCAACATCCAGCTATGGCCCAGAGAACCCTCATCTCAAGGAAGGGGCTGTGCACACAGGTGGGGATCAGACCAGCTGTGCAGGGGCCTCATCCCAGCACGCCTGAAGCTCAATCAGCAGCAGGCAAGGCACAGCCAGCTCTACTCGGCAGCAGCACTCCAGCACCAGCACTCCTGTTCTGGCACTCCAGCAGGCCCTTACTTGACCACATCTTTCAGGAAGGCAGTGGTGAAGTAGTGATTGGCGATGTTGCCTGCATTGAAGAGCAGCCGCCCATCCGGGCCCCGCTGCTGGGCAGTGGCCAGGGAGATCTCGCTGTACTCCACCACCTGGTACACACCGTCCACCCGGCACACCACGCCCACCGGCTCCGTGGGGTTGGTCTTCTCCACCACCTGCCCAAGGGAAGCACTGTCAGGGAAAGGCACCCAAAACCCCACGCTTCAAACACGCTCCCCTGGAAACAGCAGGCCCTATTTAGAAAGGCTTCTTCCTCTGCTGAGACGGTGCAGGGATAGGGATGCTGGAGCCCTCCCCTCCCAGGTGCTTCTGGCAGGCATGGGTGGCAGGTGGCAGACACACCCAGAGGGCACAACAGGATGTGGCACCAAGCTAACGTGCAGCTGGCCGCAGGCACGGATATTCTTAGCCAGTTTGCTATTCACAACCATTAGGCTGCTGGCTCAGCAGAGCCCTCCCCCTAACCTTCCTCTCCTTGCACCTCAAACACCTCCATCTGGGTTATGAGATACCCCAGCAAATCCCTACCCACTGCTGTCACCACAGAGTGGTGGCATGTAGGGGCACAAGGCTTTCTCCTTTCTGCATGCTAAGGTTTATTTCCTCTTTCTTTCATGCAGGCCAGGAGGAGAAACTGCCTTCCCTTTCTCAGTTTACCTTCTGAAAGCTGCTGCAAGACCAGTAAGTCCTTTCACTCTTTTGCCAGAGCCAAGCCCAATGCAAACAAAACCTTTGGCTGTCAAGCCAGTCTTTAAGTAAAGCTTTAAGTGTACAATGTCCTATCCACAAGACATGGGGCTGAGTTCAGTGTCGGCTGCACCCAGCATATCCTGGTCTGGTGCTCAGGATGTCAGGCTGGGGACAGCTTGGCAGCTTATGGCAAGAATCCTGTCTGCCTGTGCTAGCCACAGCCACCCAGAAAAGAGCTGCCTAGCATCTGGGCGTGTGCCAGGCAGCTACAAAGGGCTCTCAAGCAGCCTCTTGACCAAAGGGGGACCTCTGAGCCCTGGGCCTGTTGGTGCCATATTCCTGTGCAAGGCAGAAGAGCAGTGCCAGGCATCCTCCAGGATGACAGGGGCAGGCAGGATTGTGGCAGCATGTATTACTTGACCAGTGAGCTCCAGGTACTTAGCTATACCTCCTGGCTGTGGCAAGCCAGCAAATGAAGGGTGAAAAGTCAGGGAAGCCAGACAAGGAGCAGGACAGACCCCATCCAGCTCTGCAGAAACAGTGCCTGCCTACTCCCAAAACATACCTTGGCCCCACAGTCTGCTCCCTTCTCCAAGCAGAACCCGATGAACCTGGGGTCAGCCACCTTCACCAGGATGTTGTCCACACAATAGACATGGACACTGTTCACCCCTCTCCGCTCCATGTCATCCATGATGCTGTGTAAGCCCAGGGCCCGGTACAGGCCCCCGTTGCCATCTGCAGAGGGAACGCCCCACTGTCCGTCAGCCACCCACGCTCATCCTCCTTCCCCATGGGCTGATGCGGAGGGTCATCAGCCCAGCCATACCCCTCCCTGCCAGGGCAGACACAGACACCTCCCAGCCTGAGTCAGCCATGGGCCAGGTCACAGTGAAGACTGCAGCTCCAAAAACTGCTCCTCAGCACCATGTCTCACCCCTGGCCACTCCTGTCAGCTCCTTGCCACCAACCTGGTGCCATAGCAATCTTGCCCTTCTCCTCCAGCAGGATTTTCCCATCGAATCCCAGGGCAGGCAGCATGCCCTGCTGGAAGAAGATGATATTCTCCTTCTTCAAGCCAAAATACCGATGTTTGTGGAAGAACTCCTTGGTGGACTCCATAGTGCGGCCACTTGTCATAATGTACCTGTTACAGAGTAGAAGACACCCAATGAGCAGGGAGGAGAGGCAGGGTCTCACACCACTCATCCCAAATGTAGGGAACACCCAGGACATGCTTTTCTCCCTCCCACACTTAGGACGATCTGACCTGCTGTGGTACCAACATTGTGACAAGCCCATTTTTCACCCTTCCTTGCAACACCTATCTCCAAAACCATACAACACCGCGCATGGGACACCCAGCTGTGGTGGCCAACTCTTGCCTTGTCTATAAAGCACCTCAGCAGCTCATCTCCCCACTCCCCACCCTGCATGGCTGCTGTCCTGCATGGGGACATGAAAACCTTTCCCAAAGGGCTGTGGGACCGAGTCTGAAAACCACTCAGTCTAAGGGGCTATGTCCATAGCAAAGTGTTGGCATCAAGAGCAGCTACGCCAGTCCGTGATCCTTGGGCTACCAAGGGGCTCTGCATCAACCCAGGGGCTGCAAAGAGGAACTGCACTAACCCAGGCTAACCTCGGGCTGCCAAAGGGAACTGCACCAACCCGGAGGACCGCGAGCTGCTGATACCCAGAGGGCTATGCCAATCTCCAGGACCCTGATCCACCGGTGCCAGCCGGTCCCTGCCGACGGCACCCCACGAGCCCTGCTCCCCCGAGGCCGGGGCTCACCAGGGGATGTGGCAGGGAGTGCCGTGCTGCTCCTCCGCCATCTGCTGCAGCCGCCGCAGGCGCTGGGCCTGGAGGTGGAAGAGGGTCTTGCGGGACGGCAGCCCCACGTCGCACATGCCCTTGGGGTAGGGGACGCCGAGGCGGGTGCCCTGCCCGCCGGCCAGCAGCAGCGCGGCCACACGGCTCCCCGCGATCTCCGCCAGCCCTGGGGGAGCAGACACGCATGGGGCCCGCCGCGCCGGCTCCGCGCCGCGCCGCGCCGCCCCGTACACCTACCGCGGCTCTCCCAGCTCGGCACCTGCCCGCGGTCGCGGGAAGCGCTGCCCAGCACGTCCCGCGGCACCGGCTCCATGCGCGCGTCCAGCCCTGCCGCCGCCGCCCCGCCGCCGTCCCCGCGGGCGCGGCGGAAGAAGCGGTTGATCTCGGCCACGTCCATGTGACACAGCTCGCCCGCCAGCGCCCGGCGGGCCGCGCCGTCCAGCTCGGGCCAGAAGCGCAGCACATGGTCCTGCCCGCCCGCCGCCAGCCGCTCCCGCAGCTCCTCCACCGCATCCCCCTCAGCCCCGGCCGCTTCCATCCCGCCCGCCGCCACCGCCGCCGTCCGTCGCCGCCTTTTATAGCTCCTCGCTGGCCAATGGCCGGGGCCCGTGCCACGTGGTGCGCGCCGCTCGCCCAACGGGTGCAGGGGGAGGGGCGGGACCGCCCGTCCCCCTCGCGGCGCCCCCGCCAATCGGAGCGGACGCTGCGATGCCGCTGGCGGCGCGCGCCGCTGGCTGCCATGGCAACGCGCGCCACGTCAGCGCGCGGCCCCGCGGGCGGTCACAGGGGAGGGAAACACCCCAAATGCACCGCGAAATGAGCCGGCCGGGTCCCTGCGGGGGGGGCCGCCCGGCCAGGCCCGGGAGCCGTGAGGCGTCAGCAGCCGTGACACACGCACCACCGCTCGTGCCGTCATCGGGGCCACGCGGGAGCCCAGAATGACGGGATGTGCTGAACTGGAAGGGACCCTCGGGACATCGAGTCCAGCTCCCGGCCCTGCGCAGGGCACCCCCCGGAGCCACACCCTGAGCCCAAAGGGCTCGGCAGCTCTGCCGGGCTCGGTGCCGGGACGGGCCGGTGTCGGAGCGGGCTGCAGCCAGAGAACGGCTCACCGCCGCCGCTTCGGCCCACGCGTGCCCGCGCACGGCCCCGGGCCTTGTGCAATCCGCAGCTCTCCCGGGGAGCTGCTGCGTCACCAGGCGGTTCGCCTGCGGATATCATCGTTCTGGGAGCCCTCACGCCAGCGCCAGGCTGGGACGTGACCCTGCGGGGCGTGGGTAAGCGGTGCTGCCACGGGAAACCGAGCCACGAGTGACTGGGAGGAGACACGGTGGGCTCCGGCCACGCAGAGGCCACCCCGCTGTATGGGCCTGGGAAGATTGCCCGGGGACGCTGTGGACAACTAACTGGGAGTACAATTAGAGGAATGTAAAGATCTTTATTAGTGTCTTAACAGGAGTTATAGCAGTACAGAAATTACAGGGTAAATCACAGTTACTGCGCCCTGGATGGAATGCAGTTGGCATGAATCGAAACAAATTCCAAGATGATTTCCCATACAGACACATGCTAAGGGGGATGGAGTGGAGTGGGGAAGCAAGTTGAGATAGCACATCCAGGCTCCGTGGAAATCCTCGCAGGGAGGGGGAACTCGATGGCACTTAGCAGGTGATACATTGCATATCCCCTGTCAACCACAGGAGGAAAGGGAAGATGTCCTGCTACTGAACCAACAGCTGTGGTGAAATTCCCCTCTTTAGATGAACTTACTTCACTAAAGCCTAATAATAATGTTAACAGCCCCCTCCATCCCACAGTTCCCCACCTCCAAGCGAAATTGGAAGGAGTTCTGACAGCCATAGTCCCCAAGCACAAATACCAATGCTGCCATGGCTGGGTCACAGTCCTGTCCCCCAAAACTGAAGCCCTGGTGCTCGGTGACAGAGAACTTGCTCAGCTACATGACATTTTGGTGTCCCACAAGAAGGGCACGCTGGACAACCCCCTCGTACTGAAGCATTGTTTATTAATCACCTGTATCAAGCACACATCTGCTCAGCAATGGTGCGTGATGGGATACCACAACTGACATCTAACCTGAAGGGAGGCACGTGGTTGCAGGATCCGGCACAGCAGCAGGAAGTGTACTGAACCCTCTGGTAGGAACCTGGCTACAACATGGTGCTCAGGCTATGTTGTTACGAGGCTGAAGACCAGTGAGAATAAAATTAGGAATACAGCCAAGATTGGAGCTGACTTGTGCTTTGGCCAGTGATTTGAACACCAGTTACCCTACAACTAGAGTAGGACTGTGTAAGTCGGTGCTACACTGAGGGTTATTGGCACAGACCAGGAAACCCAGTGAGCATCTGAGTGGAAAGCCTCAACACTTGTGCACCTCAAGCAAGCAGTAATTTGGAGATGAGGAAAGCCAGGCCCACCCCAGACACACAACACACCCTGGACTGAATCACTATGCACACTTCAGATACAATCTAGAGTTAAGGAACTCAAAGGTTTTAGCAGGGTTTAAACTTATGCCAAGACACCAACAGGTCACCAAGACACCAGAGTGAGCTTCATATTGATAGAAAAAGTCTTTAAAGGCAGAGTGTGAGGAGTAAAAATACAATGCTTCTAAACCTCCCTGTACCCCACAGCCTGCAAAATCCAGTGACAGGACAGTGGATCCAGTGACAGGACAGAGATCAACATCTTCAACTCTTGCCAGGAGGAATATAAACAAAAGCAGCTTTGGGGCTTTTTACCCAGCTCAGTGCTCAAGCCTGGTCAATGAACATCTGGAGAAAAATGTCTGGTAGCAGGAGTTTGCATCATGAGGATTTATTTAGCCCCTGGTACAGAAGCTGAACAAAACCCTAGCCCATCTCTGGTGGAAGAGCTGCCATGCTGAAGGAACAGGCTGCAGCTCCCTTCTGAAGATCAATTCTGGCACAGCTCTATCTTTAGCTGAAAGAATTCTGACTGAAAAAGTCATGGTTGAAAGACGACAGAGCAGCTCACAGTCCTAGACAAATCCATGTGAGAACTTTGAACACATTTAAGTTGCATACCTGCATTCCAGCATCTCCCTGTCCCAGTGTTGCTGTAGGTGACAGACCTCACACTCTGCACACCCAGGGAGCTCCTTGTGGCCCCACCTGGGCTGGCACTCAGCAGAGCAGGAGCTTTGGGCTTCTCCTGCCAGCTAAATGCTGCTGACATGGTGGCATTCAACACATGCATGTCTGGACCCCTGGCTCAACTCGCAGGGACAGCAGTAATGCAGAGCTGAAGAAGTCAGTCAAGACCCAACCACACTTTAAACACTGCCCTCCACACAAGAAAAACCCTCACCCAGTTACCATTCAATTCCTCCCAGACACTAAAAGGTGCTTCACTCAAAGGACAGTTAAATTAAAAGCAATGAATCACAGACCCCACCTATGCAAAGGCTGCTGAACAGCTATGTATACCAAAGCAGCATCATTCCCAGAAAAATCTAACCAGCAAATCACACCTTAAAACTCATTGTGGGATTTTTTTTTTTCCTTTTCCCTGGCAAGCCCACCATCTCAAAAGCAACAGAAGAATTCAGAGATTGGTCCTTTCTGAGGGAGTTTGGTAAGAGCCACAGTAGACAGCACTATACATCAGCACAGAAAGCAACTCAGACTCATGAAATGCTACAGACATTGGATCTCCTGACACACCACACACAGGGCAAAAAATCAAGAGGAACTTTTTAAGTGTAGGATTCCATCAAGTCCAGCATCAGCAAGATGCAAACAAAAAACTGCAAGGTAATTCAGGTATTATTCCAGGGATGTTTCAGGCAGCTGTCCGTAAGTATTTCATCTGAAGAAAAGAATTCAGGAGGGCTTTCCTCCTCACTAAAACTGGGACGAAGACTACAAGCCAGAATACACTGGTGACTCTCTAAACAGGGCTTTTCACACTGTGCCCATCGTGAGCAGAGTGCCCACCCTGGAGGGAGAGGCTCTGCTGGGTTCATGGGTTGGAAATCTCTGGGAAACAGCCTCTGCCTGCCCCATGGCAGCAGCTGACTGAAGCCACGGGAGCAGAGTGTGCTCTGCGGGGAAGTGATGCTGCTCACCACAGTGTCTTCCCCAAAGGCATGTGGCTGTTGTTCCCCTGACACTGTGAAAGACCTTCTCCCAGCCAGTCCAGTCTAATGACTGATTAAGCCCTTTCCCTACAGGATCTCAGATTGCCTCAAGCCCTTTTTGTAACCTTTGAAGGACCAAAAGTGTCAGTGCTTCTAATCTACAAGTCTTAATAGGTTAATGCAAAACCAAACCGCACAACACAGAAAAGCAAGCGTGGGACCCACAACAGACAAATATTTGTTCTTATAAGACTCCTAAGGCAGGTGTCCTGCTGTGACACAAAGAATACTGTGTGCTGTAGCACTCCTTTCTAAAAATATCACCGAAAGACGCTTACATATCACAGATAATTTGGCATCGGAGCTAGGGAGCATCAGTGCCAGCACAGGGTATGTGCTAGAAAGATGAATCCACGCGGCAGGATTTTCACATCTATTCAGGCTACAAAGTGCTTACAAGTTGTGTTGGGACTGAGGCTGGCACTCCTCTGACCAGGTCTCCACCATCAGTCCCAGCCCACCCCAGGCATACAAGCAAGCTCAGCTCCCCACAGGCAGCATCATCCACACGTCACTGCCCAGCCCAGCATCAGCTGCATGGCTCTGCTCAGGTCATGAGTACAGGGTAAATCCACAGGCTCAGCAGATCCAATTTCATTGCCTCTCTCTGCTCTATGTGAGAAGACTCAAAAGTCCTCCTGATCTGGTTTAGAGAGGATGGTGTTTCTGTTTATTTATAACAGGTATCAACAGAAAGCAGGCAAGCCTTCCTTCTCCTCCAACACTGGAGAGGAGGATTTGCTTATAGGAAAGCTTAACAAAGAAATCCTCTCCCCGGAGACAAGCCCAGCGCTAAGGCCAAGACTTCGGTCTGCTTCAAATCGCTGAGAAACCCTTGCCAGGATCTGCTTGGCCTCCAGGACTCCCCCTGGCCCCACTCCTGACCCCCAGATGCCCGCCGGGCAGAGTCACACCCCCTGTAAATGAGCAAGCACAGCACACACACAAGCATGCGCTGAAAGGTCCCTCCTCAGCACATCACAAAGCAGCAGTAAAGTTTCAAAGCCCATTCAAGTCCTTTGCACCTCTCCTTCAAAGATGACTCAGAAGCAGGGCTAGGAAGCTCTTTTGCACATTCAATTGTAAAACACTTGATGAAGAGGAGCAAGACAACTCTCCTGATTGTTGCTACTGCCTACAGCAAGTTTTGGTACAGATATCCTCTCTTATAGGCACTCAGTGGGTAAAACGTAGCCACAACAAACTTGCCATCAAAAATCTTTCCAGTCAGCATTTTTTGGGCAGCTTTGGAATCACCAGCATTTGCATATTCAACAAAGACCTGAAAGAGATAGAGGAGAAGTAGGACTTCCAGTGCACCATGCCACTTGCCCCCTCCCACCTCTGCAATGGGG